ATATCATTTTGAGAGTATCGAAGCGCTGTCCGAGTGCTGAGTCACCACCTAATCAGGTGAGTGCATAGTTACCTTCAACTTACACATAGATATGAAGTAATTTATATAAATTACGTGCTATGTGTGCATATTATCTGAATACTTGCTATCTATGCTAGATGAACGTTGTTATACATGTTTTCAATGATTTAAACTGTATATGTATTTTATATCTACGAAAATGTTGGGGTAAAACATGGGTAGATGTAATAGGTGATGTGTGATAAAATGATGAGAGGCCTCGATGTTGTTGTTGTTGATCCAGTCATCTAGCGGAGTATAGATGACGACCACGGACTCTTCTAGACAGTCCAGTGGAACACTAGCAGGCTCGCAACCTGTAGGTGTTGTGAACGATGTGTTCACCGGTGTACTCCATCCCCCACATGGTTGCCTATTAGGACATTTATTGCTGAGGAATCCCCTTAGCAGTAGTGTCCATCCCGATGATGATCCTTAGGCTAGGTCCCTTATGATAGGTGTTTAGGGACGTAAAGTGAGGATAACGGGAACGGGTAATCGGGTTATTGTTGATTGATGAAATTAATAAACTTATTTATTGTGGGTTGAAAACCCTATGTGCTCACCAGGCTCCCAAGCCTGACCCCCTCAGTTTTATGTATTACAGGTAGTGGCGCATGAGCATAGGTGTGATGTTTTGGACGAGGGATTACGGATATAGGCCTGTAGATATGAAATAATGTAGTAAGGCTTATATTGTACTGTTTATACTTTTGATCTGTACGAACATGACATCCCGAGTCTTTTAATGAAATACATTTCTATGGAAATGCTTTTGATAAATCTTTATCATATTATTGTTTTGGGACAAATTCCGCAATCCTTTTATTAAAAGATAACTCTGATTTTGAAATAAAGTATAAACAAAACCGGTCTTTTCTGGCCGTGATTTTGGGGATGTCACAGTAGAGTCTCAGAAGCCCTTAGGTTTACTCCATCAGCCCGAGATACTTGAGTGGAAGTGGGAGCAGATTTCTATGGATTTCATAACCAAACTACCCAAGATGCTGGGTGGCCACGATACCATCTGGGTGATCGTCGATAGGCTAACCAAATCTGCCCACTTCTTACCAATCAAAGAGATCGATAAGATGGAGAAACTAACACGAATTTACATCCGAGAAATCGTGCGACTTCATGGAGTACCGAAATCCATCATCTCAGACAGAGACAACAGGTTTACTTCATGGTTCTGGCAGACACTACATAAGGCTTTGGGTACAAGGTTAGATATGAGTACATCCTATCACCCACAAACTGACGGGCATAGTGAGAGAACGATCCAAACTCTAGAGGACATGTTGCGAGCATGTGTAATCGACTTTGGTAAGGGGTGGGACATCCACCTATCGTTGGTTGAGTTCTCTCTCTCTTTCTCTCTCTCTCTCTCTCTCTCTCTCTCTCTATATATATATATATATATATATATATATATATATATATATATATATATATATATATATATACTGTAATAAATGAAGATTTTTTTTGCAATTTGTCACACTCTCATTCAATTTGTCGAATGTCATTTTTTGGTTATTTTAATTTTTTTTTCACATGTCATTTTATGATTTTTTCTATTTTATTAAATTTCATATATTTTAATGTAATAATTACAATAAATGTAGTAATAAATGAATATCAATTTTCATTAATCAATTTACTTTTTAATTTCAAATTTTTCAAAATTAAAGCTCATCTGTTTATTTTGCTTATTTATTTAAATTATTTGTTTAAATTTAAAAGAAAACAATTTTATTTTTATTATAATAATTCATAATTATTTCTTATTTTCTTATAAATTTAAAGTTCTCAAATATATATATATATATATATATATATATATATATATATATATATATATATATATATATATATATATATATATGGGTCGTACAACTAATGTATATAAAAGTTGCATTACCATATGTTAATTTATTTAAAAGTAATTAAATTAAATTGAGTCATATTTTTTAATTCAATTATTGATATTGTTAATTTATTTAAAAGATAATGAATCAGAGCTGCAGTATACCCCAATTATAGTCGAGTCATGTAATTAACTTATGAATATTATTAATCTATATATCTATATATTACTTATTTCTGTTACACGATTCGATTTGTTCTAAAGATTAAAAATTAATATCATTTCCGTATCTCATGCTCATTAGTCTGTTCCCTTAACTAATGCACATTCAATTACATTAAACTAATGGCAATTAAATTCTTTAATCATGCATGTCTAACACATTATGCCCATAAAAAAAAATTAAAAAATCTCGTCTAATCGAACAACTTTTAAGTCAACTACTATCTAATTGATTAGATTTGTTATCGTAATTTTTATACATGAAAGTGTTTTGGATTTATATTTCTAATCAGATTATCTAACTATAATATTTTGAATAAATAATTAATAAAAATAAATTCCTACAATGTATTTGGTTGGAAGCTGAACCTTTTATTTGTATAAAAGTGTTGGATAAATTATTTGGAAGCTTTTAAAAAATTCAAATTACATAAAATATAATAATTAAAAGTACCAATAACTAAAAACTATTTGAAACACCTTTTGTATTAGATTCAAAACATCTAAGGAAAAACAATATATTTCAACTTTCAAGGATATTAACTAACCTAACTACATTTTAAGTTAATATTAAAAAAATAATCAACTTTTTTTATTTTAAATTGCCAACATTTCCGGAATAAATATTCCAAACCACTCAAAACTATTTCTTTTTTAATATAAAAAAGTACATTTCATATACTAGGGGAAAAACAAAATAATTTCCATCATTTCAAAAGTAAAATGTTTTTACTTTTTTACTAAACTGTAACATAAATTAAAAAAAATATAACATGTTAGAAATATTTTTATTCTAATAAAAGAATATATATATATATATTTGTTATTTGTCAATCTATTAAAACTCATAATTAATGTTATTTTATTTGTCAATCTATTAATTATGCATTTCAATATTTAAATTTTAAAATTTTCACTATAATTATATTAAATTAATAACATTATAATAAAAACTAAAATAAAACTAATACAAATTATAATATCACATATTTATTTAAATCAACGATTGTAATTTTATATAACTAAAAAAATCTCTTAATTAATAATTTATTTAAAATAATTGATTAATAATTTTGAGTTTTTACTATAAAAGTTTAATTAATTTTCGTAACCATAGTTCTCACGGATTGTAATCTAGTATATATGATATAAAACGATTAAATCAAACAATTGAATAAAAAATTAGAATATCAAACATTTCAATACAAATATTTTGGATATCAGTAGAGTTTTTTTTTTTTTTTTTTTAAATTAACATTAAATATTTTTGGTTAAGTATATAAGGTCGTCCGGTATGGTTGCAACAGACAGGTTCGTGGTCTAGCTGGCCACGAACCACGACCGTGCACACCATCCCGGTGGCAAGTTGTGGTTTGTGGTCGTGAGGAGTCATGGTCGGGACAACAAATGCAAACAGAAAATGTGATTGGGTGTAGAGTAACGGCCATATTTAGGGTTTAAAATCTTTTTTTTTTTTTTACTTTTCAAACAACATTAAATCACTTCTATAAATACAACACCTATTCATTCATTTTACTTACATAATTCTTTTCTCTTCTTCTCACAATAACACACTTCTTTTCGCTTTATAAACTCAAAGTCAATGGCTCCTAAAAGAATGAATTGGTCAGAAAATGAAGAATAGAACTTAGCATTAGCATAGGTAGCTGTTTTAGAAGATCCAGAAATACCTCCTATTTTTTGGGTAAAAGTTGGAAACATTTTCCATGATTTAATGGGTTGCGAAAGTCGTAATTTTGATGAAATATGTTCCAAGTTTCGCGACATGTAAAATGTCTTGAATTCAGTGGGATTTATAATTTTGTTATAAACGTGGACCAAGGCGGCCCGTTTGTTGTAGTCATGCACCAATATAAAGACAAGAACCACATGCCGTTTAAACACGTCAAAGCTTGGCAAAAATTGAAAGAGTTCTCAAAATTTAGTCATTAGAAATAACGGTTAAAAACTAGTTTAAGTTCTTTGTGGTTGCATTTTTATGTTTTTTTATTATTATCTTTTTTATTTTATGTTGTGTGTTTTAAATTAATGTAATCTTTGTTTCATTGAATAAAAATGTAATTTAAAAAAATATGTTTTATTGTGTTTGTGAATTAAATTTAAATAAAAAAATATTTTAAAAATATATATGTTTTATTGAATAAAAAATATATGTTTTTGAATAAAAAACTAATTTAAAAAAATATATTTTATTGTGTTTTAATGTATTTTTGAATTATATTTAAATAAAAAATTGAGGTCGAGTGATGTGTTTAACGATAGCTATCTCATGGTTAGTGGTATGAAATGCGGTGCTGATATGACATCCACTACATATGTGGTATCTGGTGGGTATAACGGATGGTCTAACAACAATCTTTTAAAATCGTTTTACATTTGTTAAGACCATAAATGGATAAGTAATCAATGTCCCGTATATTTTAATTTTTAAAGATAAGGAAAAATAATCAGATATTTTTTATAAATGTCATGATTTATTGGAAAAATAATCTGTTATTAGATCCAAAAACCCTTGCAGTTTCAACATCGAAATTTATCTGGAAAATCCTAAAAATGCATTCATACAATGATACTCAACTATATTCAATGTTGTTTACGTTTTATATGATGATTTATTAGGATGTAATTTAAGATCTTATTTTATACAATGCATCAGGAACCGACAAGCTGAATAACAGAGATCAATAATGGTAAATTGCTGAAACAAATAAGAATCAGTCGATTATAACAGAACTAAATTGTAATATATATTATGTAAACACGATCATATGATGAAAACGACTGAAAAAAAAAACATGGAGATGAACATAATGTCAATGTTTATATCCTAATTCAAGATCAAAACCCTAACCATAAGCATAAAGAATGCGTACGTTATGGTATTGCGAGAACCTGAGTTAGTCTTTGGGCTTGGGGATGGAGTTATGGATGTGATCGGAGCAATGCTAGGACTGCCGACGGGGGTTGTAGCAGTATCATTACTCTGTGCATTCTCCGTCAATTGCAGTTGCAGTTTCCCCATCGCCTTCAAATTCGCTGGCTGGAATTCATGTTTCACCGGCATTCCCTCCTCAACCGAACCACCGACCTGCCAGACATGATTCACCTCCGTCATCGTCTTCGGCAACTTCACCGTTGCGAAGATCTTCATCGATTTGTCGCTGTACTCCGCACTGGACTCTGGAACTTCAAGCGAGATCTTGCCTTCAACAAGGGAGGAATACGAGCTGATGTTGTATGTCTTCACTGTCATCGAGCCGTTCGAGTCCTTGAACGCGACGAGTGCTTGAGAACCGGCCATGCCGGTTTGTGTCGGGTTAATAGCCCACGCGATCCATCCCTCTGGTTTAGCAGGAGGCGCGACGAATGCGATTGAGAGGGAGGGGTTTTTTGGGATGTGAGTCCAGTGGAGCGATGCACCGAGGGTTGGTAGATCGGTGCACTTGGTATAGAGCTTGTTGTTGGTGAACTTCTGTGATGAACAGCTGAGAGAATGCACCGGAGAGGTTAGCAACAACAGATATGCGAAAGTTAGCACGAGAAAACATAGCGACGGGTTTCGGTTGAGAAACGCCATTGTTTCCGGTGGAGTACGGTGGAGGAACTTGGTGCGTGCGACGTTAATGCAGAACAGCAGAAGGGGACATAAATAGCTTTTTATAAGCGAACCAGTAACTTTTTTTTTTTTTTTTTCTATCCAATGGGTTTTTAGCATTCAGTGAAAAACTCAACGTAAAAATATTTAATTTAAGGGATAATGAATTGAAAAGATAAGGAACTTTCGATCTTTTTTCACATTTTGTCACTAATTTTTTTTCGTTATTTATTTGTCATTTAACTATTAAAACTGTTCATATTTTACCCTTATGACCGATCATTACAAAATCACACTAAAAAGCTCAAGATAACTCTTCCTCTCATAGATTTCTTCATCAACAAATGTTGCTAAAACTAAACAAAAATAAATAATTTGCTAAAACATAATACAATAGGAAGTTTGTTTACATTTAGCCATTGAACTTTTTAGAAGGAAACGAACTTTTAATTCTGTTCACATTTAATCAATAAACTTTTTTTCGTTATCTATTTGCCACTAAACTATTAAAACTGTTCACATTTTACCCTTATGATCGTTAATAGCCGGTCATAAGGGTAAAATATGAACAGTTTCAATAGTTTATTGACAAATAGATAACGAAAAAAAGTTTAATAATTAAATGTGAACAAAGTTGAAAGTTCGTTACCCTTTCAAATCATTATCCTTTAATTTAATAAATCAGATTATTGAAAGATACATTAATATACATTGTAATTTATTTAATCGTATGTAATTTTTAGTAAACATTTTATGTAGTTCTGATTTATAAGATTATAACAAGATTATAACATGCGTAAAAGATGATTGAATTTTTTCTTTTTCTTTTTTAAATAAAAACAATAAAAAGTAGTTATTTAATCTGACACTTATTTAAAAAATTGTATATGGTAAATAATATATATATATATATATATATATATATATATATATTAATAAAGGATTACAAAAATTAAATAATATTATTTAGTTTTCGACTTTTTTTTCTTATTAATATATTTTGCTTCACAATATGTTAATTGTCATCGTACAATGAGTGAGATGGTAAACGGGCAACAAGCTGTGCCGCTAAGCCTTTTTGAATGGTAAAACTAATTCTTTTAAAGACTACATCCGAAGATCTAGGGGATATAACATTACTATGTATGATTCGTTGTACTCTTTTAAGGAGCTCTACCGCATCCGGTGCGAGGAAACCAAACGTATTAAATGCAAATTGTATGAACACATGTTGATTTTTCATGCACGATTTCTCATGTTTGGTGGCTTTGTCTGTAGCTGCTGTTATAGCAGCATGTCCCGTCGTGAAACCCCCAGCCCTCAGGCCCACGAGAGGGGATACCCCTGTAAGATCCACACATGCGTGTTTCCCTCCGACCCATCTAAAAATCAAAATGTCAGTTGGTCTGAGGGTTGACCTTCCTTCTACCGGGTCAGTTAAGAAATTAACAATTGCCTCTTTCTTAGCGTAAACCCCGACACACTTAAATATGTCAAACAAAACATAGTGAAATATGCAACATTTAAAGCAATATATTATTGTATATATGTGAAAATTGATTCACATAAGCAAATCAACATTTTACAATAACTGTTTATTGACTTTTATTTATGGTCACACAAAAAAAAATACATACATTTGTAGTCTTGTTTATTATCATTGATGCGTAAGCACTCTTGAACTAAAAGTCTAATGTCTGGTATTGCTTCAAGTTACATCCATTGCTTCATAAACATTAACATCAAATGCAAACATACGCAAGTGCTTACAAAAAACATCATTGGTTACATATTGCTATAGTTGTTGTTGTATGAGAATTCGATGAGTGGTAGATGGGTATCCTAGGCTTTACCAATATCTATCACACATGCTCTCAGCATGTCTTCTAGGGTTTGTATAGTTCTCACACTCTGCCCGTCGGTTTGTGAGTGGTAGGTTGTACTCATGTCCAACCTAGTCCCCAAGGATTTCTGTAGTGACTGCCATAACTGTGAGGTAAATCAACTATCTTTGTCGGAGATAATAGATTTTGGAACTCCATGCAACCGCACGATCTCCTTAATGTATGTCTTGGTCAACTTTTCCATTTTGTTGGTTTCCTTTATTGGTAGGAAGTGTGCGGATTTGGTCAATCTGTCGACGATTACCCAAATGGTATCGAGACCACTCGCTGTCTTTGGCAGCTTGGTTATGAAATCCATTGTGATCCGCTCCCACTTCCACTCCGGTATTTCTGTTTGTTGCAACAAACTGGAGGGCTTTTGGTATTCTACCTTGACCTTGGCGCAAGTCATGCACTTGCTCACAAAGGTGAAAATTTCGACTTTCATGTTTGGCGACCAATAGAGTTTCTTAAGGTCCAGATACATCTTGTCTGAACCGAGATGTACGGAGTATCGAGTTTTGTGCGCTTCGTTCATGACAACGTCTCTGAATCCACCATACTTGGGTGTCCAGATTCGATTCATGAGATAGCGAATTCCATCACTCTTGATTTCTAGGTTCTTATCCATCCCTCTTAAGGCTTCACCTGTCATGTTCTCTGGTTTAGGGCTTCCTGCTGAGCCTATTTGATTTATCTGGACAGGTGTGAATGGATTGTCATGTTTAATGACTATACTCAGCGGTCTGAGTAATCCTTTCAGCTGAGGACGTCAACAACTACATTAGCTTTGCATGGGTGATAACGAATTTCGCATTCGTAGTCGTTCAATAGTTCTACCCATCACCTATGCCTCATGTTGAGCTCCTTCTGATTGAGGATGTGCTGAAGGCTTTTATGATCGGTGAAGATAGTACATTTAGTCCCGCAGAAGTAGTGCCTCCAGATCTTTAGTGCTAATACTAATGCTCCTAGTTCGAGGTCATGTGTGGCATAGTTGACCTCATGTGTTTTTGGCTGTCTCAAGTCATAGGCAATGACATTTCCTTGTTGCATCAACACACACCCAAGACCTTGGTTCGATGCGTCGCAGTAGACCACAAAGTCTTCGATTCCTTCTGATAGGGATATAATCGAAGCACTGCACAGGACCTGCTTTAGCATTTGGAACGCGGTGTCTTGCTTTTCTCCTTAGTTGAAGGTTACACCCTTATGAGTCAGGGTGGTAAGTGGTTTGGCAATCTTGGAAAAGTTTTGGATGAACCTTCTGTAATAGCCGATGAGTCCTAAGAATTGACAAATTTCTGTAGGCGTCCTTAGTGCTGACCAATTCTCGATCGCCTTGATTTTGGAAGGGTCTACGTGTATCCCTTCCTTGCTAACCACATGACCGAGGAAACTCACTTCTCGGATCCAAAATTCACATTTTGAATATTTTGCATATAACTCCTCCGGCCTTAAAGTTTCCAATACTTTTCGTAGGTGTTGGTTGTGTTCTTCCTTACTCCTTGAATAGACCAGAATGTCGTCTATGAAGACAGTCACAAACTTGTCTAAGTAAGGCTGGCACACCCGTTTCATTAGATCCATGAACACCGTGGGTGTGTCTGTTATACCGAAGGGCATCACTCCAAACTCGTAGTGACCGTACCGGGTTCTAAAGTCCATTTTATGAATATCCTTCTCTTGAACTCGTAGTTGATGGTATCCTGACCTCGGATAGATTTTTGAGAAGTAAGTTTCTCCCTGAAGTTGGTCGAATAGATCGTTGATTCGGGGTAGAGGGTATCGGTTTTTTATGGTAAGCTTATTCAGTTCGTGATAGTCGACACCAAGAAGGCACGAGCCAAATGTTGGGAAGTTTCCTGAACTCCCAACTCACACAATCCTCAATCCAGATGGCCATTTGGGCTGCTTTCCTCCCTGACGGGGATGCAAAACTCATCCTAGTTTCATGTATGCTTTTGTTCCTGAATACCTGAACGGTTATCCCCCACTTTGATTCGACTCAGCTCTTACAACACACAATATTTGAAGGATTTTCCAATCCTTCTTACCTTCCAATGATCAAACTGCTAACAATCCGCGCTTACCAATGCTAGTGATCCATCACTAGCCAAACACAAAAGACCGCATAACCCCTGAAAACTAGATGAACACTTCCCGAATCCCAGCAAAACTGATAACCCCAGATGCTTTAAAATTATACCATATTCAAATCTTGAAGTACAAAGAATAAATGCTCAAACTAAAACCTCAGCAATATACCACTTCCCTTGGCACCCCCCCCCCCCTAAAAGGCCAATTGAAGCACAATTGCTAAAACCACTGAATCCTAGCGATACTGGAGAACCAACCTGCTGAATTCTGACCATGAATATTCCACACAATTCCCCTGAACCGATCTCAACTACAAACCACAATAACAACCGAATAATTGGAACCCGCTATATGAGAAATGACCCCGCACTGCACCACTAATGATTTATGGCATGCAAATGGCATATAACATTTCTTGAAAATATAACCTAAACATAAGTAGAGAAATAAACTAAAGATACACTTACCCAAACCGATACAAGATTCCAAAAACATAATATACTGATAAAAACCAAAAAGAAGCAAAAGATACAAACCTGCAATGTCGCCTGCTGGAGTCTTGACATCCCCTGTCTGACACTGCAAAGCCCGACTCCTCTCTGTTGGGGCTCTTTCCTACCATCTCGTCCATCGGTGATCCTCAAAGTAGCCGGAGCAGGCACACTCATTGGTCCTCCCCTTAACATCAGGAAGTCGGCCTTTTTGTGGCTCACCTAATATCATCCCACAACATATCATAACACCTCACCTTCTTAATTTCCTTATCCGCTACATACTGAGGAACCAATAAAGCCATCTCCTGGAACTTGGTAGTGATCTCTACCACAGTCTCAGTAGTTTGGCGGAGATCCAGAAACTCTCGTGCCAACTGTTACACCTCGATCACTAGTACTAACTCAGCTTGGAACCTGGTCGAGAAGTCATCCTATGGCATAGCATCAACAACATCAGCACCCATCTCACTACCAACCACTTCCCACCAATCTTGTGCTCTGTCCT